CTGAGCAAGCTGAAACAAGCCATCTTTGCAACAAGTTCAGTCACAGAACCATTGGTTTCTGTGTAGAAAAATGTATATTTCATGTAAAAAAATTATTTTGTTTAATACTTTTGGGTGTCTGGAACAGATTAATTCTATTTCCATTATTTCTTATGGGGAAAATTAATTCGGCTAAAGGCTAATTCAGCTAAAGTCTAGCTCTCTGTAACGAATTAACCCTTAAACTGTCCAAACATAGATCTACAGTCACGTGTGTAGCGCTCCGACCTTGATTTTCCCCATTTGATAGTATGGAAAAATTGCATAGATCTACGTTTGGAGCCCCCTGCACGTGGATGTAGATCTACGTTTGGACAGTTTAAGGGTTAAAGGAGTTAGCTGAGGGTCCACTGTACATGTACAAGGTATACAGGCCTAACTTACATCAATGACATACTACTACAGTGGAACCTCAAAAATCGAACGCATCACATATCGAACGTTTCGAAAATAGGACCATTTTTTCGGACAAACTGTGTCCCTATTATCGAACGCGCCCCTATTTTTGGACCGCCGGGTACGGGACCTGTCTGCCGCCTGCTCTGTCCGCATCCCCGTGCAGGCGCCATGAGCAGTCTAGCTCTGTTTATGCTTGAGTGAACACTAACCTGCGCTCTCATTCACGCATTTTACGATTATTTCGTTGTGTTTAGTGCTTGTGGGACTGTGAAATAAGCTGCCATGGGCCCAAAGAAACTTGCTAGTGGTACCCCTGTGGTAAAGAAAGTGAGAAACACCATAGATGTGAAGAAGGAAATAATACAGAAGTATAAGAGTGGTGTGAGACTTGTTGAGCTTGCCAGGATGTATGGGAAAAACAAGTTGACCATCGGTTCTATCCTGTCAAAGAAAGAACAAATCAAGGAAGCTGATGTTGCAAAAGGTGTTAATATAGGGAGTGGATGAGGTGCCTTCTTCAAAGATTAAGGAGATTTGTGCCAAGTGGAATGATGTCCAAATGTTTGTGCAGAAGTACCACCCTGAGCAAGCTGAAACAAGCCATCTTTGCAACAAGTTCAGTGACAGAACCATGTCCCATTTTAGGGAAATGTTAAAGAGGCGCCAGAAACAGAGGACTGTGGACAGTTATTTTGTGAGACAGGGGTCCAGTGACTCTCAAGCTGGTCCTAGTGGCATTAAAAGACAGAAGGGAAGTAACCCCAGAGAGGGGTTTACGTGAAGTCCTCATGGAGGGGGAATCTCCCTCCAAACACTAACCCCAACTCCCTCTCTCCTCCTCCCTATCTTCCAGATGCCATCACCAATCTTCAGTAAAGGTAAGTAAAAATGTTATTTTATATGTATTACTATACATAGTTAAAAACTATAGTATTTGTCGTATGTAAAACTGTAATTAATCTCTATAAAATGTATTTTTTGTGTGAATATTTTTGGGTTTCTGGAACGGATTAATTGTATTTCCATTATTTCTTATGGGAAATATCACTTCGAATTTCAGACTTTTCGAATTTAGAACTAGCTCCTGGAACGGATTAAGTTCGATTTTTGAGGTTCCACTGTACATAGAAAGCCGCTTGCTATGCAGAGCATTTCGGGCAACTTAGGTCAGTTTTGTCCGAGGATGCAACCCACACTAGTCGACTAACAACCAGGAGGTACCCATTTTACCGATGGGTGAATATAGACAACTGGTGTAAAGAAACACGCCCAATATTTCTACCCTTGCTGGGAATCAAACCCGGATCCTTGCCATGTGAAGCGAGAGCTTTAGCCACCAGGCCAGGGGGCACCGTGGCCTGGTGTACCATGTACACCAGTACCATGATGAGCAAAGTAATCTCAATGGCATTATATAGGAGACCGCTGTGAGACCCTGCATGCCTTGGTAAGCACTGTGCTTGGAGTCTCAATCTGGCAATTACTTTCTATAATTCAATTTTCATAATCAAATAATCTAAAAGGCAATAATCAAAATACATGTGTAAGCATTTCACTGATACATTCCTAGTTTCATATAACAGTAAAATTAACTGTTCTTTTCTTTAAGCTTTCTTTTTTTATACAAACTGCATTGCTTCAGTCTTCCTGAGACGGGGGCATAATTTTTTAGTCTATTAAACATGACTAACTCGGATAACATCCTAGCAAAATCCTTTGGATCTTTGACTTATGGATGAAATGGTAAGGCCTTTTAACTCATGTCTGAAGGACCAGGGTTTGATCCAGGCAAATGAGGAAACATTAAATGTTTATTTAGGTCCCATACATTAAATAATTTACATTTTTACAATGGATTATATAGTAAATTGTATACTGAAGTGAACCTAGGCATGTTTTGTTACACCTACTGCTCCTGTTCACCTAGCAGTATGTAGGTACCTGGGTGTTAACTATTTGCGTTACATCCTGGGGAAGATCAAAGATCCACAATGGAAAAAAAACGTCATACAGTGGCTCTCTTGGATTATCCTGGGTTACTAACCATTTGGGGTAATAATCTAAATAAACTCTTCTACTGCCTGACTACAAAGGCTTTATCATTATTATTATTATATTCAGAAGAAAGTGATAAAATAATTCAATAATAACAAGCTAAAGGTGTCTATCCATGACAGGACTAGCAACAATGCCTCCCAGCATACGTAAGGGGGATTACCAACAGACCTCTGGCTGTCTTCAAGAAGGCACTGGACAGGCACCTAAAGCCAGTACCTGACCAGCCAGGCTGTGGTTCGTACGTTGGGTTGTGTGCGGCCAACAGTAACAGCCTAGTTGATCAGGCCCTGATCCACCATAAGGCCTGGTCACAAACTGGCTTGCAGGGGCATTGACCCTAGAAACCTTCTCCAGGTATACTCCAAGCAATGGTGTTAGGTTGGACAAATTTAGATTTCAAAAGGATACAAAGAAATAATAGTTTCGCAATAGTCAGTACCTGATCAGCCGGGCTGTGGTTCGTACGTCAATTTACGTGCAGCCAACAGTAACAGCCTGGTTGATCAGGCCCTGATCCACCATGAGGCCTAGTCACAGACCAGGCTGCAAGGGCATTGACCCCTGAAACTCTCTACAGGTATACTCGAGGTAGATGAGTGGAAAAAAACTCCAGGTAGTGTCACTGAGATAAGAACTCTGGGCAGCTTTATATATAGGATGGATGGATATACGAGTGAGAGCTCTCACTCACACGCTGATGTCCGGGTTTGATCCCCGGCAAGGGTGCAAACATTGGGCGTGGAGGGGAATGATTTTCTATTTTTTAGCTAACATACGTGTAAATTTTACCTTATTCCTAGTAATGACCCTCGTATTGTAGATAGTCTTAATGACCCTCGTGTAGTAGATAGTCTTTTTAGTATGATAATAAGATGTTATCTTCATTGTAGAATAATAAGAAAATATTGTAACCTTTATATTATAATAATAAGGTAAAAGGACCCCAATGGAAATAAGTCATTCTGACTTTTTTGGGTTATCCGAGGTTCTCTACACATATGCTTCTATGTATGATAATTCTATGTAACTGTACAGTGTATTTGTGTATACCTGAATAAACTTACTTACTTACTTGCCTGTTGTCCTTGTTCACCCATCAATAAAATGGGTACTTGGGTGTTAGTCAACTGGGTCATATCCTGGGGACAAAACCGACAATTTTCCCGAAATGCTCTGCATAACAAAGGGCTTTCTATATAGTAGTATGTAACTGATGTCAGCTAGGCCTGTATACCTTGTACATGTAATTGTAGAAATAAAGATTATTATTATTACATGTAACACAGTTCTGGGTTATTCTGGGTTGAATCTACATATAGCAACTGACTTGCATGTGTGCAAATAATCTATATCCTATGCCTATAATAGTCTGTAAACTATGTGTGGTGATTATTATTATCATAATCATGGGGAGCGCTAAACCCGTAGGATTATACAGCGCCTGTGGGGGGATGGAAGGCATTCAGGCTCAATTCAGGGACCTGGAACACAGATCCAATTCCCTAGATCAAGAGCCCCTCACCACCGTCAAGGAACCTTCCTTGAGGGGCAATGTGTGGTGAACCTTAAGTTGATATTATGGATACTGTATTCATGTAGCACAAAAATAGCAGGTAACCCCAAGACAAGGCAACCACTATATGAAGACTGCAATGCTGTTCATTCTACTTAAAACAAAATATTTTTTATACAGAAAATAAATGCTATAGTAAACCTAAAAAAAAAAAAAAAAAAAAGGAGTGAACTTGAAAACCCAACTTTGTACTTAGGCTGTAGCAACAAATATAAATTACTTCACTATTTAAAATATCTACAATTATAGTACTTGCATTAAGTACAAGATTATTAGGGACATTTAATTACAATACATTATTAAAGTATGACCTTAGGAAAACCCAATAAAACAAAACAATAAATTTTCAGAGCATCATTACGTAACAAAGTTGCTATGGCCAACGTCAGCTGACTCAACAATAAACTTTATTAAGATAACTATACATTGTTTTAGTGTGACACATTTATACCCTGGCTGCAATATCCACATAGATTTTATGCTCATACTCGCAGCAAATTATCCTGACTTAATATAGGATACCCAGAGAGAGCCAGTTTGACGTACATCCATTGTTATTATCTACGTAGCAATTAATAAGGCTTTGCAAAATCAATAAAAATAAATTAAAATGGTCTTGATGGCACACATGTTATGGGCATAAAAAATACAAGTGAATCATATAGATAAGGTAATAAAATGCCAGTTATTTTCGTAACAGTGGTGGAGGGTAGGACGGAGCCCTGGCTTCTTATAAATAAATATATGTATATTATTATATTAATGGGGAAGAGCTAAACCCATGGGGGCTATAGTGCATCTGGGATAATGGGAGGCATTTTGGATTCGATCTAGGGAAGGGAAGCACAGGTCTAATTCCTCAGATCAAGAGCATCCACCCCCCCCTTCACAGGGACGTAGGAGCCTCCCTGGAGGTGTGTAGGTGTCTTACCTGGGCTATACCAGCACCCATGAGGCCACTGCCTATCACAGTCACGTTCTTGATGGAATTTGACATCATAGCTGAGTGAGAGAAAGTCCTAGAGGTGAGAGTAGTGAAGAACGCCATGACTGTGATAAGTGGCACGGACACTGCCGGTGGACTGGTGGTCTGGGACAAGTACACTCAAGTGGACTCTGACCCTCCTTAATTACACATTTATCTCTCTATTTTTATATACTCTCTTCAGTAAGATAAATATTTTATTACCACTAAAATTTGTTCAGCTATCAAAAGTTTGCAACCCAGACACTGGATGCAATACGTACTTGTGTAATATTTTGACTGCCGCCCAGAGGATGGGTATGGGGTGCATAATGAGGATATTAATGAAAGTAACTTCGATAAGATAAAGTTATATATGATTTTACGCACCAAACAAAGTTATAACTGGGTCCCTGTGGGAATGTTACACTGGCTTGATTATAATATTTATGTTCCTAAAAGATACATTAACTTTAAAGGAATTGTTTTGTATTTATAACTTCTTATACAAAACATTATCAGATGCTCTATTCTCCTGAGTACATGTGACTCGACCTGACCTTGGCTTTTCCCTCACCTGACTTTCTCATCACTTGACCTACCTCCTACCTTCTCCTCACCTCTTCACCTGACCTGCCTCCTAACCTTCTCCTCACCTCTTCAACTGACCTGCCTCCTAACTTTCTCCTCATTTCTTCACCAGAACTGTCTCCTGACTTTCTCTCAACTTCTTACCTCTCTCCTAAGTTTCTCCTCACCTCTTCACCTGAGCTGTCTCCTAACTTTCTCATCTCTTCACCTAACCTATCTCTTCACCTGAGCTGTCTCCTAACTTTCTCATCTCTTCACCTAACCTATCTCTTCACCTGAGCTGTCTCCTGACTTTCCTCTCCTCGACTCTTCAACGCCTTCCTTCAGTGCATAAGAGGAATTACTAACAAGGCCCTGGCTGCCTTCAGGAGGGAACTGGGCAAATTTCTCAAATCAGTCCCTGACCAGCCGGGCTGTGCTTTGTATGTTGGACTGCGTGTGGCTATAAGTAGCAGCCCGTTTGATTAGTCCTTGATCCTCCAGGAGGCCTGGCCTGGGACCGGGTAACAGGGACGTTGACCCCAGTAAACATCCCTCAGGTACGTCCTTCTGATATAACCTCTTCACTTGACTTTCTCTTCCCTTTCACCAGTAGTTTCATTTTTTCCCTCCTATCTCCAGGTATACTCTTATCTGGAGTATACCTTGAGAGGGTTTCGGGGGTCAGCGCCCCCACGGCCCGGTTTGTGAACAAGCCTCGCAGTGGATCAGGGCCTGATCAACCAGGCTGTTACTGTTAGCAACAAACAAACCAACGTACGAACCACGAATCGTACTTATGTGCGCCGTGAAGGTAAGTAATGTAAGTTGATAATGGTTTATCATGAGCAGAAGCGTTATCTAAAGTGTACTGGGTAATGTTCTGTATTGTAGCCACGATACTGACTATTATTCTTCAACATTAGATTCAGATCGGTAAATAAGTTTATTTAGGTACAGGTACACAGTACAGTTATCATATATACTAACACATATAACACATGCGGCCCGATGGCTGTTTTATTATCGTGACTCTCAAACGCTGATGGAGCAAGTCAACTTGTATGAATAAGATACAATATGTGGTTCATTGCATTGAGATGTTTCGTCCATCAGGGACGTTTTCCCGATAAATACCATAAAGTGTATATTGTCTTATTCACATACCTGGAGAGTTTATCTGGAGAGAGTTCCGGGGGTCAACGCCCCCGCGACCCGGTCTGTGACCAGGCCTCATGATGGATCAGAGCCTGATCAACCAGGCTGTTCCTGCTGGCTGTACGCAATCCAACGTACGAGCCACAGCCCGGCTGGTTAGGTACCGACTTTAGGTGCTTGTCCAATGCGTGCTTGAAGACACCCAGGAGTCTATTGGTGATCCCCCTTATGTATGCTGGGAGGCACTTGAACAGTCTCGGGCCCTTGACACTTATTGTATTGTCTCTTAACGTGGTAGTGACACCCCTGCTTTTCATTGGGGGGATGTTGCATCGTCTGCCGAGTCTTTTGCTTTCGTTGTGAGTGATTTTCGTGTGCAAGTTCGGTACTAGTCCCTCTAGGATTTTCCAGGTGTATATTTATTTATTTTTTATTTATTTATTAATTTAAATATGATACAGTGAAGTACAAAGTTATTACAGTGCAACATGCCAAAGCCCCTTGTATGCAGAGCATTATGTGCAGGCTTAAAATTAACTTAAGATTAACTAAGCAATGATATATTCAGTGGTAAAAACATAATTGTAAACAGATAACAATTTAGTACAAATGAGTATTACAAAGACAGGTCACATGGTCATTTACTGTGTTGCTGAGCATTCAGTAGAATGTAGTATCTTGTTAGGTAATGTAATTAAAAAATAAAGTTTGATTGGGTCACAGGTTAGACATTTATGAGATACAATAATGAGAAAACATTTACGAGATTCGTCTGTAAAAACTTGCATTTGTGGTCACAGTGGTGCCTGTGCTAACCTTCCTATGGTGTAGAAATATACCTAGTTGGATGAATCTTATTGTGGCTAGCTGGTCTAGTGGCTAAAGCGACAGTCTGGAGTTTTGAGACTCTCTGACCGCGGGTTCAATCCCGGCCGGGGTATGGTTTGTTTGCAATCGTGTCATTACGATTTCGTGAGTCGAGTCGAGTATTTATTTAGTTGTGGGTGAGTAAGTGATTTCTGAGAAGAGACTTGAATTTATAAACAGACAGTGTTTCTTTTATATTCACAGGTAATGAATTCCAGATTTTAGGGCCTTTTATGTGCATTGAGTTTTTGCATAGCATGAGATGGACTCTAGGAACATCAGAGTGATCTGTGCCTTGTGTTATGGTCGTGTGTTCTGTTGAGGTTGGTAAGGAGACGTTTGAGGGGAGGGTTTATATCAGAATTAAGTGTTCTATGAATGTAGTAGGTGCAGTAATAAGTATGGATGTTTTGAATGGTGAGTAGGTTTAGAGTTTTGAATATTGGTGGAGTGTGCTGCCTGTAGTGGGAATTAGTTATCATTCTGACTGCAGCCTTTTGTTGGGTAATTAATGGTCTGAGATGGTTTATTGTTGTTGAGCCCCATGCACAAATTCCATAGGTGAGATAGGGGTAAATAAGTGAGTGATATAGGGCCAGGAGGGCTGACTGTGGAACATAGTACCGTATCTTCGATAGTATGCCTACGGTCTTGGAAATTTTTTTTGAAATTTGCTGTATATGTGTTTGAAATTTGAGTCTATTATCATGGTGGATTCCTAAGAATTTTCCCTCTTTGAGTTTTGTGATAGGTGATCCGTTTATCATTATGTTAAGAGGGACGTCTCTAGCTCTGTTACCAAACTGAATGAAGTAGGTTTTGTCAATGTTTAGAGTAAGTTTGTTAGTACTCATCCAGGTAGATATTTTCTGTAATTCGGTATTTACAGTATTGGCTAGCGTGACTGGGCTCGGGTGAGAGAAGTATGTAGTGTCATCTCTCCCGCCTGCGTTCCAGGGAGTACAGGTTCAGGAACTTCAAGCGCTCCCAGTAATTGAGGTGTTTTATCTCCGTTATGCGTGCCGTGAAGGTTCTCTGTACATTTTCTAGGTCAGCAATTTCACCTGCCTTGAAAGGTGCTGTTAGTGTGCAGCAATATTCCAGCCTAGATAGAACAAGCGACCTGAAGAGTGTCATCATGGGCTTGGCATCCCTAGTTTTGAAGGTTCTCATTATCCATCCTGTCATTTTTCTAGCAGATGCGATTGATACAATGTTATGGTCCTTGAAGGTGAGATCCTCTGACATGATCACTCCCAGGTCTTTTACGTTGGTTTTTCGCTCTATTTTGTGGCCGGAATTTGTTTTGTACTCTGATGAAGTTTTAATTTCCTCATGTTTACCATATCGGAGCAATTGAAATTTCTCATCGTTGAACTTCATATTGTTTTCTGCTGCCCATTGAAAGATTTGGTTGATGTCCGCCTGGAGCCTTGCAGTGTCTGCAATGGAAGACACTGTCATGCAGATTCGGGTGTCATCTGCAAAGGAAGACACGGTTCTGTGGCTGACATCCTTGTCTATGTCAGATATGAGGATGAGAGACAAGATGGGAGCGAGTACTGTGCCTTGTGGAACAGAGCTTTTCACCGTAGCCGCCTCAGACTTTACTCTGTTGACTACTACTCTTTGTGTTCTGTTTGTGAGGAAATTATAGATCCATCTACCAACTATTCCTGTTATTCCTTTAGCACGCATTTTGTGTGCTATTACGCCATGATCACACTTGTCGAAGGCTTTTGCAAAGTCTGTATATATTGCATCTGCATTCTTTTTGCCTTCTAGTGCATCAAGGACGTTTCCTTACACCTTTTGTCCTGTTCACCTAGCAGCAAATAGGTACCTGGGTGTTAGTCGACTGGTGTGGGTCGCATCCTGGGGGACAAGATTAAGGACCCCAATGGAAATAAGTTAGACAGTCCTCGATGACGCACTGACTTTCTTGGGTTATCCTGGGTGGCTAACCCTCCGGGGTTAAAAATCCGAACGAAATCTTATCTTATCTTATCTTGTCGTAGTGATCCAGTAGTTGGGACAGGCAGGAGAGACATGCTCTAAACCCATGTTGCCCTGGGTTGTGTAACTGATGGGTATCAAGATGGGTGGCGATCTTGCTTCTTAGGACCCTTTCAAAGTTTTTATGATATAGGATGTTAGTGCTATCGGTCTGTAGTTCTTTGCTATTGCTTTACTGCCCCCTTTGTGGAGTGGGGCTATGTCTGTTGTTTTTAATAACTGTGGGACGACCCCTGTGTCCATGCTCCTTCTCCATAGGATGGTAAAAGCTCGTGATAGGGGCTTCTTGCAGTTCTTGATGAACATGGAGTTCCATGAGTCTGGCCCTGGGGCAGAGTGCATGGGCATGTCATTTATCGCCTGTTCAAAGTCATTTGGCATTAGGATAACATCAGATAGGCTTGTGTTAACCAAATTCTGTGGCTCTCTCATAAAAAAAATAATTTTGATCTTCGACTCTCAGTCTGGTTAGCGGCTTGCTAAAAACTGAGTCATTGGGACTTGAAAGGCTATACCTGGAGGGAGTTTTGGGGGTTAACGCCCCCG